AAAAACAGAGGTAAAAAATGTCGTTGTTCGTTTGCTTCTTGTTCTTTTAGCCCACGTCAGTCGGCGCCAATTCTGGTGGCGTTGGCGCACGGCACCCGCGCATTTGCACACAACTCCAGACGCATTAAAAAAAAAAAAAGAGAGAGAATAATAATTTTAAAAAGCAGGCCTCACCAATAAGGAGTGCGTCAAGTGGTCAAAAGGAAGGGCACTATGCATTGCTCTCTGTATGTGTATTATTATATAAATCTTATTGGGGTCTGTTCAAGGAATCTGCGTCCAGGAGGCGGGGGGGGGGGGGGGGCAAGTAGGTATGTGGCGTGTTTTGTTGCCCCGGTTCCTTATTTACAAGGTGGTTTTCCTTTTTGTTTTCAAACTTGGCGCGTTGGAAGGGGGCGTGAGTGTTTCTTTGTTTCTTTTGTGCCACCGCGTTTCACTTCCTGGCTGCAACTACTGCCAATATCACCCACGCGGCGGTGAAGCCCGGCGGGGGGGGGCCCTAAATACCGCCACTTCGCGAGGCCCCGACGAGCGCCCAGTTGTCGCGGCGCACTTGCGCCTCCACGGCCTCAGCTGTTTATTTGTGTGAGCGCGCCAGTGCCGGACAACTTTCGTCGGAGTTGGGATGTTGCGCGCAAGCTCCACTGAAGTCGATGAGAACCGGCGAGCGACAGCAACACGCTTCTCCGTGGGCAGTTGTTTATCTCGGATGAGGCGTACTTCGCCGCTGAGGTGCGCTGACGAGAAGACGGGAGAAGAAAAATGGGTGGCGGCGGCAATGTAAGAAACCTTGAGCAGAAGAGAGAAGAGGCTCATGGCAGCCATATTCACATATATATATATCTATCTATACTTCCAAAGTAGAAGTGGTAACATTAAAGCCCATGGCCTTCAGCTTGCTTCTTGCGTTAATTTTTTTTTTTTTTTTTTTTTTTTAGTCTGTTGGTGCTGATGCTAGTTTCCCTTTTCGCAGCCGCAGTGCGGCTGCGTCGCGGCGCCAGGAATTCCCTGCCGTGGATTGCCGGCTCGTGGTTGCTCGGCCCCACGCAGGGAACGGGCAGGCGCACGCCGGCGTGCTGCGGGGCAGCGGTGGGGCGAACTGAAGAAAGAGAACGAGGAGGCAAGAAGAGCATGGAGAAGAAAAAAAGGAACAATACAGACACAGAAGAATAAGATAAAATAAAAATGGATGCAGGAAAAGAAAGACGGTTCTCTTCTGCATTTCCCGCGGAGGAGTTGCGTCGCGTTTTACACGCGCAAGTGCAAAATGGCCTTCACAGCCAAAATGAAAGGAGTGAAGTAGGGGTGCGTGTGTGAAAAAAACAGAGGGAAAGGGATGGCGGGAGGGTGGAAAAAGAAAAAGAAAAAGAAAACTTGTCGTTTGGAAAGAAAGGCCGCCGGAACCGATTGATGGGGGGAATCCCTGACGCGTGCAGCTCGAGACGTTGCTGCGGCAAGACGCCCTTCATCCCTTTCTTCTCTGTCACGTGCACGCTGTTCACTGAATACCAATTCATATTTATTGCCGAGGGCGCGTGTAATGTGCTCGCTGTGGTGCACCTCCTCCCTTTTTCTGGGGGTTTGCTCAGAGTTTGGCTTTTTGCAGTCCCCTCGCCTCACCTCCCTCTGCTAACTCCCTTGGGCAGGCGTGGGAGGTGAGTGTCTATCGTAAACGCAACCACCTACAAAAAGATACTTGCTTATACATTAGAGGTAAGTCGTCTGGCTTGCTCCGCAGCACGTTGCATTACCAATGAGTCGAGAACAGCGCGAGATCGCGACGGCGTTCCTCGCGCATCTTCGTCAGCTCTCCACACCTCATTTCCCCAGCAGCCGAGACGGGTTTGACGTGGAGATGGATGAGCTCCGCAGCGTAGACCACCGTCTGCGGAGCAACGTGGACGAGTTCTACACCGCCTCCCTCGCGACGAGTGTGGCTAAAAATCGCTTTGTCGAGGTGCGGGCAAACGAGGGAACCCGCGTGCATCTTCGTCCGCTGATGGAGGAGGAACATGAGACGTACATCAACGCCAACTACGTGGATGGGCGGGCGTTGCTTGATGTTCCTTTTGCGTACATCGCCACGCAGGCCCCGCTTCGGAACACCATACTTGACTTTTGGCGCATGGTGTTTGAAGATGAGGTGGCCTTTATTGTCATGCTTTGCGGGGAGCTGGAGGAGGGAAAGGTAAAGAGCGAGACGTACTGGCCGCGGGAAGGGGGTGTGCTTGACTTTGGCGTCCTGCAGATAACATCACTGAGTGAAGAGCGAAGATCGGACTTGGTGTTTCGTGCGTTTCTGCTACGCAATTCACATGGGAAAGAGCGCGAGGTGTACCACATGCAGTACACGGGCTGGCCTGATCAAGGCATCCCTGTCACAAGTGCTCCACTCATGGAAATCATTCAAACCATGGGAAATTCGGAGCTCAGCGTGCAGGCTCCGATTGTTGTGCATTGTTCTGGCGGCATCGGTCGTACAGGCGTGTTTATTGCCCTGCACGTGGCACTTGCCCAATTTCAACTTGAGCGGAGAGACTTGGACATACAGAGGATTGTTCACGTTTTGAAGCTCTGTCGCACCGGAATGGTGCAGCGCAAAGATCAATATGTCTTCCTTTACTATGGCGTACTGCGTGAGATGGATCGCATGATTATGTCGGCTGAAAAGGGGGTGAACTTGCTGAACCTGCGCCGTCGCGAGACCGCCGCGATCAAGCAAGCTTTGCCCCGACCGGTCACACACGCGGCACCACAGCCTTTCCCAGCTTCTTCCAAGCCCACGCGGACGGCGGCCCAAGTGCCACTGCAGCTTGTCAACCCTCACACCACGTTTGCGGCAGCGCTTCGGCTGCCGTCGACGCGGGCCCCCGGCCCCATGCCTCGCAGGATTTTTCCCAACGCCCCGCCTCAGCCCCCCTCCGACCTCACAGAGGCCCAGCAAATTCTCTTGGAGAGTTACTTGAGACGACGCGCGCGGTCCTCGGAGCCGCCGGCGGGCCGCAACAATCAGCTTCCCGACTTGAACTGGGAAGCGCCGACACGAGTAGAGCCCAAAACGGGCGGCGACGGCGCCCGAACGGCATACCACGCCGATGTCGAGGACAGTCGCGCGCGGCGGCCTGACCTTGGAAGAGCAGCTGCGACACTGGCAATCAAGAAATAGAGGAATGCGGTTCTCGACGGCGCGCGAGGGAGAGGAGGAGACGCGGCACGGGCCGGGCGACGGCACCGGCGCCCCCACTCGTGGCAAACAACGCCTAGAGATGAAGCCTTCGGCCGCGGAAACCTTGCGGGAGACGAGTCTGGAGCGGGAAGGGGAGCACCGGCGGCCGCCTGCCTCGACGAGCGCGGCTTTGGAGCCCAGCCCGCCGCCCGTCTCGATCATCATCACGCCGCAAGAGGCGGGCACCGCACGCAATTCAGACCCGACCTTCCTCTCCGGCAGCGGGGACGAGCAACTCGGGCGGGGCGCGGCGGCGGCGAGGGAAGCCGACGCCCCCCTTTCCTGCCGGGCAGACGCGGGGCCGGGAAGGCGCGGAGACCCCGGTTCGCCCCGCATCGCCGAGGAGGAGTACGAACGACTCTGAGCGGTGTCCCGCCGCCTTTTTCTTTATTTTATTTTATTATTGTTTTGTTGTTGTTGTTTTTTTTTCGTCGCTGTTTTTGTTTTGCTGCCCCGCGCCCCACGGCCCCCCCCCGCCTGCGCCCGGAAACGGCGGCGCCCCGCCCGCTCTTCCCCTTCTGCTGCCCAAGCGGCGAACAAAAGGAGAAAGGAAAAAACAATAGAAAAAAAAGAAGGTAGGGGCGAGCAAGGGGCGGGGGCGTCGCGGCGCCGGCCCCGTTATTTTCTTTCATCCCGCTCCCTCCTCCCCGGCGCCGGGGAGGAGGGGGCCCGGCCCCGCCGCCGTGGTTGGCGGGGGGTCCCCGCGGCCCCGAGGAAGCGCGGGGAGGTCAGGCGCGCCGGTGGTGCGGGTCGTTTTCCGTCGTCATTTTCCTTCTTTTTTTTTTTTTTTCCTCTTTAGGGTGGGATGGCGCGCCCGGCGTTCTGCAAGAAACTTGTGGCCACCGGGCTTTCCCCGCACTTCAGAAGCGTCGTCGAAATTCGCGTCGCGCCGCTGCCGGCTGTTCTGAAACCGACCGAACTGTTGGTTAAGAACCTGTTTGTCGGCATAAATGCCAGTGATATTAATTTCACAGCGGGCAGGTACCACCCCAGCGTAAAACCGCCTTTTGAATGTGGCTTTGAAGCGCTTGGGGAAATCGTGGAAGCTGGGGGAAAAGTCAAGGATTTTGCTGTAGGAGATATTGCCGTGACACAGGCCTATGGGGCTTTTGCGGAGTATCAAGTGGTTTCTACAAGGCAGGCAAAAAAGGCTCCTTCAAGGAAAAAAGAATGGCTTCCACTTGACCTTAGTGGTACAACGGCGTCCATCTCTTTAGCAGAGGTTGTGAAGCCTTTGCCTGGAGAGGTGGCAATTGTAACTGCAGCCAGTGGTGGAACAGGCCAATTTGCTGTACAGGTCCTCAAGAAGGTGTACCACTGCCGTGTTATTGGAGTGACCTCGTCTGTGGCGAAGGAAAGCTTCTTGAAAGAGTTGGGCTGTGATCATGTGATTGTGCAAGCACGGGAAAGCATTGATGAGGGAATAAAGCGGATAGCGCCAACTGGAGTAAATATTGCCTATGAATCCGTTGGTGGGGAGACGTTTGAAGCTGTCGTTGAAAACCTTTCTCTTCGCGGACGCATACTTTCAATTGGGAGTATATCTGAATATAGCGATGGAAGTGCTTGGATGAAGCCTTTTTCAACGTATGCGCCCTTACAAACAAGACTTTTGTCAAAAAGCGCGACCTTACACACCTTTTTCTTACCACATTACAGAAAGTACGCTTCTCGACATTTTACAATGCTCTGTGATTTACACAATTCTGGAATTGTGAAAAGCTGTGTAGATCCTTTTGTATTTAAAGGACTTGAGTCAGTTCCGGATGCAATAGACTACATGTATAGTCGGAAAAATCAAGGGAAAGTTGTTGTTGAGCTCTAGGGTAAGTGACAAAGTGCCGACGAATTTTTGTTTTTGTTTTGTTTTTTTTTCTTTTGGCTGGCTTATTTTCTTTCCTACAAAAAAAGGAACGAAACTTGCTCTATTTTGCCGTTTTAAAAGAATTTTTTTTTAACGACTCAATAAGGGGAAAAAAGGAAGGGGGAAAAAAAAG